TGATGCCAGAGCCATAGCATATGCACTGCTCGCCTCAGTCGGCCAGCAAAGTCGACCACAGACATCTTTCATTGAGCACTTGCTATGTGCTACAGTCAATGCTGAAGGCTGCCCATGGGCCACTTCCATCTATCCTCATAACAATGTAGAGAAGTAGGTTCTCTTGTTTATTGTACTGATGATGAACCTGAGACCCGGGGAAGTTAAATGACTTGTCCACGAGCTCACAGCCCCTTAAGCCCTCCACTCTACTGCCACCTCCTATGCCCAGCTCTGAGTCAGGAGTGGTAGGGAACTTAGGAGGAGCAGAAACATAATCCCAACACTCGAGAACCTTCTGATCTATGTCAGGATTGGGGGAAGCTAATATTTATTTTATTGAGTGCCCAAGGCATGGCAGAGACCTTGTTAGCCCTTTACAGACCACAGTGATGTTACCTAATCTTTAGGGCACTCCCAAGCTCTAGGATTCTCTGTCCAGTACTCTGTGTGCTTGAAAACAGGAAGAGGACAGATACACCATTAATATACACATGGATCAATGAATTACTGGTGCTGGATCTGAGGGTGGATGGAGGTAGAGTGGTCAGCAAGTCCTGACAGAAGCACTTGGACATATGACAGGTCCATTATCAATCCTTTTTATCATCATTTTAGGTCTCCACAATAGCTAGCTTGGCATAGTAGAAAACCAAAGGACTCTGTAGTGACACAGACACACATCTGAGTCCCAGTTCCATTGTATCCTGGTTATACAGCAATGGGGTAAGTTAGATAACCCCTCTCGGCGTCAGAAGTAGATGTGATAATGATTCTCTCTATAGGATTAGTGTAAAGGTTAAGTCTGAGCATTGAGGCAAAGTCCCCAGGGTAGTGCTACTTCTTAGAAATGTGGGCTATATGAGTAAGTAATTTAAACTCTGAGTTTTATATAGTTTTATATAGTTGCCTCTATATAAAATGGGAGGAATGAGGCAGGTTGCTGCCTATAGTAGAAAAACGGCACAGACTCCAGAGTCAGATTACCCAAATGTGAACTCTGGTTCTGTCACTAAGTAGTTGTAGGATATCAGGCAACTTTTTAACTTCTTTAAGCCTCAGTTTCACATCTATAGAATAATGCTAGTCATAGTATCACCCCACAGGGCTGTAAGGAGTATCAAATGAATTATACCTCAAGTGCTCAGAACAGTACCTGCCAGCCAATGGGTTTGCAATTGTTATTACCTTGAAGTGTTTCTGAGGATCCAACGCATTCAGTTAAAGCACAGCAGACTGCCCAAAGTCGTTGCTCAATGAATTTGTAGACATCTGTTGTTTTCTTTCTTTTTTTTTTTTTCAACGTTTATTTATTTTGGGGGCAGAGAGAGAGACAGAGCATGAACGGGGGAGGGGCAGAGAGAGAGGGAGACACAGAATCGGACACAGGCTCCAGGCTCTGAGCCATCAGCCCAGAGCCTGATGCGGGGCTCGAACTCACGGACCGCGAGATCATGACCTGGCTGAAGTCGGACGCTTAACCGACTGCGCCACCCAGGCGCCCCAACATCTGTTGTTTTCAAGTTTGGCATCATTTCCCCCATCTTTGGATAACAGAATTTTTCTTTCTTTTGGGAAACCCATTCCCAAGCCCTGAAAACTCTCATCCCCAAACAAGTGGGATGAACCCATTTCCAAAACTTGACTGGTCAGAGGACACCACCTCACTGGCAATAATGATGTGCTCAGACATGGACGTGTCACCAAGCTAAGCAATCTACCACTGGTTCTTTTCTGAAGGACTGTTGACTCCACCCGGATTGCCAGATTAGTACCCTGGGTCTTCTGCTTTTGCTCACCATCACGTGCACTGCTACAAAAGATGTAAGGAGTGACATGAAGTCCCAATAACTTCACCAAGCCCCTGGATCCAGTTGTTCCTGAAGCTGTCCATAACTGTCCCTGAACTTTCCAGGCATATAAACCAGTATCTTTCCTCTTTGGATTAAACTAATTTTAGTCACATTTCTGTCACCTAGTGGTTAGTAGTGTTATTATAATAGCAGGTTTCCAACAAATATTATTTCCCTTTCCCATCACTCCTCCAAACATCTTATTACACATCCATAGCCTTAACAAAAGGTATTCTTTGGATAAATAGTGAGTATTAAGCAGTTTTTGTCTACAGATCTAATAAGAAAGGAAAAGGCGTGTCCAGAATTGCTACTTATCCCACATGGCATGCTACGGAGTAGACAGCCACACAGTACCCACATTTAGCATTCCCTGGAAAATGGTTCACTGTGTCTATTGAGATGCAACACTCCTTTACAGAGCTAGTGACATATGTATACACACCCATGATTGCACATTTATTGATTTCTAATTTGTACCCTGCAAAATAAGACAAAGACACAATAGGGCCATTAAGAAAAATCAAAGATCAAGCCCAGAGAGAAAAAAGAGATTGCTGATTATAGCCGAAACCTGAGTTAATATAGTTGCTTAAATAAAAAAAAAATTATATTTAGCTCTAAGCTTTTTGGCAGCCATTCAGAATGTGTCATGATGAGGCATACAGAGAAGTGGGCATCCTTCATGTCTGTACCTGAAAACCCAGCAGAGGCCAGGTTGGAACACGCACAGAGGAAGAGCTTACTGAATAAATGAAGGAATGAATGAATGAGTGAAGGATAAAAGAACCAAAGCTCCCTAAGGGCACTGTTTATAATACTTAGGCCTATATCCTTCACTTATTCATCTACCCATTCACTGAGTGCTTATGTGTGCCCACTTCTGTGCCTGGCTAGGACCTGGAGCAGGACAGATGACAGACTGAGTCAAATGTCGTGCCTGCCTTCCCAGCTGCAGCTCTCTGGCTTGAAGCAAAAGCTCAGAGTCATCCACCTCAGTGCCCATAGCAACTGCCAGTGTCTTCGTGCATCCGGAAGAAAGAGATCAGAGAGCAAAGCTGAGAAAATGGGAAGTGCGGGAGTAACACTAGTTATCTTGGTAATTACACTCACCCCTCACTGTAAACCCTAGAAAACAAATGCACACACACTATGATCTCATCTGATACTCACAGCTACTTGGCGAGGAAGATAAAAGGGAAGAGGAGTGTCAGCCTTATACTGATGGGGATATTCAGGCACAGAAGGGAAAATGACCCCCCCAACCTCTCTCAGAAAGTGACAGGATACCACCCTGGGGGTTCCCATGCCCTAGGCTGCCTGCCTGGGCCTGGCCCCCAGCATCTCAGAGACCTGTTATCACTGCCTGAAATTCCTCCTCTGCCTGCATCAAAAGCAGCCTCGCACAAAATGGGCATCATCTGATGGGAGCAGCTATGAGGCCATGTTCCATGAGCAAGAACCAGCCCGCTTGACACCCTGCAACAAGTGGAACACTCAGACCCCACCTGCTCAAAGCTTTCCAGCAGCCCCAGCCCCACAGACACCTTCTGTTTGCTTAGAACGTGATGCTGAGATTCCAGATGAAGAGCTTAGAGTCAGCATTATTTAGGAGCAGGTTGAAAAGGCACAATGTGGTGCTGGGTGGAAAGACAACTATTAGGTGAGCATGTAAGGAAAGAACTACATAGGAAGAGGAAATTAAAAACCAGGTTGTTTCCCCATATGCCCATTTAATATTCTTTATCCAGCTCAGCTAGACGCTCAGGCTGCTGAACATCACTTTAGTCATCCTCATACCCATCAAGATGGATTCAGTGTGGAAAGGTGAAAAGGGGGGCATACTCTTCCCCACAGATAGCAAAGTCAGCCAGGTGGACCGAGCTAGAGAAATGCAGTACACAGCACGAGAAGACCTTGACAAGGTACAGGTGTGTCCTAGAGAAGGCGAACAACGCTGCTGTACCACTTAAACACCAGCCAACCCTTGTGGTTCCTGTTCCAACAAAGTGTCCTTTAAAATACATTTATGTATATAGTCTCTTTCTGTGTATGCACACACAGATATAGATATAGATACAGACTCCTAATTCAGAACTCATTCTTAAGCACACACACTGACATGTGTTTTGTATTTCCCAATGTATCCTGGAGCCTACATGCATTGTTTGACTGCATAAATAGGTATTAAACACAGCCACTGGGAATGTAAATGGGGGCCACAAGTTTGGAGCCTCCCCAGTAATGTTACAGTCTTCCCACCCAGGCTGTAAATCTCACTGCTTGGCTACTAAGCAGCCAGACACTGTCACTCCATTCAGAAAATCAAGGCTTGGGCCAACCCAGTTCACCCCATGAACTACACGAGTCACTGCCAGTATGACTTATAGGCTCAGAATCATAGAGCCATTCACTGTCAATTAATTAACACTTGCTTAATGCCCACAATATGCCAACCGCAATCTCCATTCTGACGTGCATCTCAAGTTCCTTGAACCTCCAAACTCTCATACTGAATAAATGCACAGAAACATCTCCAATCTTCCCCCTGCATTATGTCTTGGACCATTCCAGAAGATAAAGCAAAATTTAAGATGTTTCTTCCTTTTCCCACAAAATCATAGATCTCCAGACCCAGGGTTCTCAGACTGGCGGAGGTAGGAAGCAGGCAAAGGGCTGGAGTTGTTCTGGTCTGCAGGATGGTGAGGTTAAAGTGTTCAGTCCAATACAATGCCCTCTGAGACCACTGGTGTCTCTTTTGAGTAAACCTACCTCAAATCCCATCCCCAGGGCATTTCCCTGAGGTGAGGTCAGACCATGTTAAATGGCAGTGTGTCCTTCTTTGCAAAGAAGAGATCTACTACCACAAGCCACCAGCCCTCATTGGCCACTTAAGCCACTGATATCTGAAGAATGGGAGCAAAAGTCGGGTGTGGAGGGGAGTGTAGGGGCACGCCATATTGAAGCCCAGCTCCTAGTCTCCATACATATGGCCTAACTACCAAGCTCTGCATGGTACCAGGCTCCATTCACAAAGGCAACCACAATATCCATATCACCCAAGCCAGGCAGGACACCAGGTAGAGAACATAATTCGGCTCTACTTACAGTCTGGTGAGCTTTGGTGTACTCTGGAAAAGCAATTCTGGAAGGACCTGGAGCTTATTCTTGTTCAGGCGCCTAGAGATAAAGAACAGAATGAAAGGGTATCAGGAGACATTAAATGGATTAAGAGTATTCACAGATACTCACTTCAATCAATCAACAGGTATTAAGAGACTTTCTAGATATTTCAACATGGGATGCACAGCATGTTAAGGCATATTCTGCTTTGCAAGGCTTGCAGTCAAGTTGGAGATACAAAGCAAAGGTCAGTCAAAGGCAAGAACACCGCACATGTGCTGTCGCTTCCCCATCAAGAGCCTAGGACAGACATCACTAATTGATCACACCATTCTTTCCCACAGATTCCAGACAAGGCTTTTGAAATTTTCCGGCCATGTGCTCCAGGTAGCAATTGCCAAGCGATGAAACTGATATGCAAAATGGGTCCCTAAAAAGAAATAAAATACCAGAGAGAGTATTTCATCCTAGATAGTGGTGGTGGTTGCAGTAGGGAGATAGCAGTTACTATGGAAACAGAAGAGGCCATGGGTTGAGGGGCCAAATGGAATCCCTGCCAGCCTGGAGCGGGGCTGTATTATAACTTTCATGGGCCCTTGGCACTTTTGCCTTTGCATGCCCCTAACTCTATATAAAAAATTAATATCACATTTTATAACTATGTTGGTATAAAAATATATTAATATTATATATTATAACATTCACTTTGACCTGAAAGGCTTTTTTTTTCCTTCTAATTTTAAAAGAAATGAAAACATTTTCATGGGCCTCTGAAAGTATTGTTGGCCCTGAGCACTGTCCCCGCTGTGCCTAACGGAGCGGTCAGCTTTGGGTCAAAAACCACAGTCTGGGCAAGCCATGTGGCTGGAGGTAAAGTCCTCCCAGAAGGGATGCCCCACATTGGATGGCAGCAACAGAGCCAATCTCATGCTCTCCTGAGAATGGTCAATGCTAATGCCAACAGTGAAGAAGGCCACATGAGTTTTCAAGGGACACCAAGCCCTTACTGTGGCCTCCAAGAAGGCTGTTCTCTGGGGAGTAGGAGGCCAAGAGGGAGACCCTCATCCCTGCCCACTCCCATGACTCTCTGTCCTAGCATCTTTACACAGCCTCATCAGTGAGTGCCCAAACCAGTGTCTCCAAACCTGTCCCCAGAATCCTCAGAATCTCCTGCAGCAAAAGAACAGTTTATAGCCTGGTTGAAATTTTGGCTTGGAGTAAGCCGCCCATTTCGTTACCTGGGACAACCATACTATCCTATCTTAGAGTTAAGCAAGTTGAAGAAAAGATAAGATGAGCTTCTTCCCTGCTTCTGCCCAAAGCCCACACTCTCTCCACCACGCCAAGCAGACATGCTTCCCTGGGGGGATTTTGCTACTTTCCCCCTTTTGTCCCAGGTTGATGGCCAAAAATTTCTAAGAGACAGGGGACAAGCAGGAGGTCAGAAAGGGCAAAGCATGTGAGAGAGGAGCTTTGAAGACCCCAGAATAAGGCTCCTGTCAGAAGTGTGTTGCTCAGCCCTGAAGGGGCTCATGGTATGTGTGGGCAGGTGTGGTCCAGTGATGCTGTTTGTGGGCCCCCTGACTGCAAGGAGACCAGACAAGAGGCTGAGAAGTTGGACGGATAAGCTCAAGTTCCCAGCGACACCCCAAAAGCAGCATGACTCCCACACTAGTGCTCTTCTGTAATGTTTTATTAATTGTGGTAAAAAACAAAAACATGAAATTTTCCATCTTAACCATTTTCAAGTGTACAGTTCAGTGGTGTTAAGTATATTCATAATGTGCAGATCTCCAGAACTTTTTCATCTCACAAAACTGAAACACTATCACCATTGAACAACTCCCCACCCCAGTCCCTGATAGCCGGCACTCTACTTTCTGTTTCCATGAGTGTGACCAGTGTTTGCTTTTTTTTTTTTTTTTTTTTAAATTTTTAAATGTTTATTTATTTTTGAGAGAGAGAGAGAGAGAGAGAGAGAGAAACAGAGCACGAGAGGTGGGTGGGGGGTGTTCAGAGAGAGAAGGAGACACACAATCCAAAGTAGGCTCCAGGCTCTGAGCTGACAGTACAGAGCCCAACGTGGGGCTTGAACTCACGAATCACGAGATCATGACCTGAGCCAAAGATGGACATTTAACTAAGCCACCCAGGCGCCCCAATGTTTATTTATTTTTGGTAGAGAGAGACAGAGCACAAGCAGGGGAGGGACAGAGAGAGGGAGACACAGAATCTGAAGCAAGCTCCAGGCTCTGAGCTGTCAGCACCGGGCCTAAAGCAAGGCTTGAATTCACAAACTGTGAGATCATGACCTGAGCCGAAGTCAGACGCTTAACCAACTGAGCCACCCAGGTGCCCTGTGACCAGTGATCACTCCCAGTATCCACTGTTCATGTTCTTGTCACTAAAATGGAAATACAGGAGGAGCCCAGGGGAGAGAAGAGTGATGGGTAATCTAGTTGCTCTTCAGAGCAGCTCCCATAAGTCTGTGATATGTCCTTTGATGTCATATGGGAGCACTGATCCCAGAGAAGGTGCGGTGATATGACTTTGGCCAAAGCTGGGTTCAGGTCTAACTAGATCTTGATCTCCCTGTGGGACTTTTGGGTAGTTACCTGGCCTGCTGAACCTCAGTGTTCCATCTTCAAAATAACCCTATACATTGGGTTACAGAAATTCTTAATGACACAGTGTGTGCCCAAGTGTCTAGCACTGCAATAAGAGCATGGAGATAATAATAAAAATGATGCAGTCCTAACTGCACATCAGATGCTATGCTACATGCTGGATGGGCACAATCACAGGCAGGAGAGCTTGGAAGCGGGCGTCATTACTACCCACATCTCATAGATGAGGACGCTGATGCCTGGAGAGGATGAGTACGTTCCACAAGGCCACAGTGTTAGGAAGTGGTAGGGTCAGCATCTGAACCCAGGCAGTCTGCCTCCAGCGCCCAAGTTCTGAACCACTAACCTCTCAAAGCCTTGTAATAACTGACAGTTCCCTTCCTCTTTTCCTTTCTTCTTTCTCCTCCCCCCTTTCCTTCCTTTCATTCAGGGTTACCACCTCCTCAGCCCCAGCTCAGACAACCATCCATCCTGAATACATTTCCCTCCCTGAAAAAAACTCTCTTGGAGGTCCCTAAGGCCAGAATTGGGTCTCTACGTGTCTGTCTGGAACCACCCTCTATTGTCACAGCTGCACAGAGCCGGGTGACAGTTATATTCAGACGACTAACACTTCAGTCTAGGCAAAAATCCTAAAATTCAGCCCACCGAGGCCTGCAGTGGGTAGGGTGTTTAGTGTGCTAAAAGCCCTAAACCAGAGTTGAAGCTAAAAATAAAACCAGCTTGGCTCCAAAGCTCCAGGAAGGGAAGGAATCATTTTTCAGTATTTGTGGCTGGACAAAAATAAAAACACAACCAAACTGAGCCAATTGTGCTCTGCCTGCTGCTTCATAAACCCTGATGAGGCTTCCAGGGCAGCTGGACCCGGCTTGTTCTCCCAGAGCCTCTGGGTTTTTCCGCTTCAGCTTGGGCGGGCCTCATGCTGGTTCTCCCTATCATAAGGAGTCTGATGCTCCATTTCATTTCCAGTTCATTCCAGGGTTTATTCACGTTTACTTAGCAAACTGAGCCAGCTGAAAGGTCTTCCTTGAAGGGCTGATGGAGGCTCCAAGCTGCATAAAGTGCATTTCCCACGTGGCTGCTGTAGAGCAGCTCCTGAGCAGGAAAATGAATAGTACACAATGTGTCGTTCTCCTGGTAGAGGAACAGGGAAGCACTGGGCTGCAGACAGGGGCTGTGGCCATGATGCCCTCCATCCCTCATGTCATCCACTGCTCTGTCACCCTGTATCCAGAGGTGAAACTCTCCTGCTGTGGTTCAAGCTGAAAACAGATCCATCAGGCCTGGATGAAAAGGACCAAATGGGACTCATGTGAGGGCAGACCTGAGGGGATTGACACCAACCATAGGCCAGGTCAGTGATAAGATAAAGCCCTCCTGGCTATCCCCCCGTCCCTCGGAGATCAGCACTCTTTTTCAGCTTTACCTGCTAGAACAATGGGCAGCATCAATGTCGAAAGCCCACAGGCTGTGAGTTGCAAGGTCATACTGCTTTCCAGCCTGAACCATGAAGCACTGCAAGTACTGCTGATCACCTTTCTGGAGGTACCTGGGTGTAAGATCTGATTCGAGATTTTGCCACTTTTTTTGTTGAATTTGTCCATTCATCTATCCCTTCAATCATCCATCTACCCACCTTTCCATCCAACCACCATCCATTCATCTCGTCAGTCCTTTCTCAATAGGAATGTATGAAGATGAGTAAGAATATTCCCTTCCGAATATCAGATGCTAGTGGAGAAGACAGGAAAACAAAGGTATCATGGGAGTACAGAGGAGGGCCAGCTAACCCAGACCTGGTAAAGGAGGGCTTCCAAAAGGAAGTGGCTGGAATTTACTTTTGAAGCAGGAGTACAACTCTAAGAGACAGGGACAAAGAGTTCTACACTTTTGTATGTCTACGGAGGGCCACGACACCAAGGGGCCCCTGGGAAGTAGGCTGCACCGCTGGATTCCAGAGAGGACATGAGAAGCAGAAGTAATGAAGCTGCAGAGCCAGGCAGAGGTCTTACAGCAAGGGCCCTCGTGGGTAATGATAAAGGATCTGGGTTCGGTTGTTTCCTGGGAGTAATGGGAAGCCACAGGAGAGGGGTGAGCAAGGGAATGATCATCTGGTTTGGGTTTTGGAAAGTCCTCTTGAATAGCAGTAAATCTCATTTGGCAGAGTGAAAAAGGAAGCAAGGAGACTAATTATGAGGGCTCTTGTGTAATCCACATGACTGTGTGAGGACCTGGTTAAGGATGAGAATGGTATTGGAGTGTAGGAGATGTATGTGAGGCATCATTGACAGTCCAAAGGAGTTCCAGGGGTGGAGGTGTTAAAACAGGCCCCCAGGGCTCCTGCTAAGTGGGTAACTGATCAGCTGAGATTACCTATCACTGCCAAAAGGAACAGAGAAGGGAGACAGCATGCAGAACGTGCTGTGTTCA